TAAAATAGATAGAATAGATAGAATAGATAAAAGAAATTAAATGTACTACTGAATCAAATAAAGGAGGGAGAAGGAAGCAGAATAAAGAAAGAAAGAAGACAACAAACAAAGAAGACAGAAAAACAGGATGGGAATATCTTAGCTGATGCAGAAGCACATTATGTGGGAGAGATGAGAAAAGTAGAAGAGTCTCCATCAACTGAGAGGAGGCAGAGGAGTAAAAAAACAGAGAGAAAGAACAAATAAAGCTAAAATTCTGTAACCACAAATATAGGAGTCCTTGCTCTTGTTGAATGTAAAAATGGAAGTTATGAAAAGATCCAACCAAACAACTTAGCAAAAGACAAAACACATCGATACAAAATTAAAAAAAATAAAAACTCAGATAGCCTGATGTAAGCAACCTCAGCTACCAAATAGGTTGGTTCTCAACCTTCCTAATGCTGTGAGCCTTTAATACAGTTCCTGTGGGTCATGACCCACAGGTTGAGAATCGCTGCAATCAAGAAAGGAAAGAAAAAAACTTAACAAAGACAACTACAAGAAAGAAAAAAGAACAAAAACAAAAAAATATATGTATATAAAAACATATACATATATATGATGTAGTGATCCAATCTTAGAAAGGAAATATTTATGTTGCAATAGACAGCCTGGACACAAGGTGGTGCTGTGAACTTAGGGGGATGAACAATACAGCCGTTAACCTCTCTCTGGCTCTTAGGCTTATATCTGTTTCCCAGCTTAATTGTTCCTGGTGATCACTTGATTACTTGCTCAGTACTCAGACCCTGCCAATCTGGGATCTCACAGCTCTCCAAAATTCTTCAGAGGTAGGTCTCACAGTTTCCCCCACAACAGTTCCCGTGGAGTGTGGGAGACCTTGGGCCCATCACTAGTGGATGTTCACTCCCAGCAGGTGGAACTCAGACTGCTGTGCCTTAAGCCCCCAGCAAGAGGCCTGACCTCACAACCTTCTGGCACTCTTTATGACAATGGCTGCCCCCTGTCCAGGGGAGCCTTCCTATACGGATGTCTTACGCACCACCAAACAGTGGCAGAACCACTCCAGACAGCACTCCAATCTAGCCACCAAACACCACTCAGGAGTGCGAGTGCACACACCTCCAATCTTTCCACTGGATGTCTAGCTTCCCCCAAGAACTGAAGACCACAAAAGTCTTCTTCTGGTACCTCTGTGGGGGATACTGGCCACCACCACCACATCAGTCACCACTGCCACCTCAGCGCTGTTGCAGCTAGGGCGGGCTCCCAAAAACTTGATTAAAAGTCAGGTCTCTGCAGCTCTGGTTGTACACTGAGTCCACCACCTTGCTGCACACCCTGAGCCATACCTCCATGCAAATTCCTCACACCAGGTATGATCCGGCTCTCTCCCTTTCCCCAGCTGCTCCAGAAGTGCTCTGCTAAATGTCCTTCCTATCTGCCATCATGCTCCACCTCCTCTCTCTCTCTCTCTCTCTCTTTTTTTGCTTCTCATAGGACTTTTTCTTTATCCATGACATTTGGGAGCTTGATTATCAAATGTCTTGAGGTAGTCTTGTTTAGGTAAAAATTGCTTGGTGTTGTGTGACCTTCTTGTACCTGAATATTGATATCTTTCTCTACGTTTGGCAAGTTCATTGTTACTATTTCTTTGAATAAAACTACCCCAATTTGTCTCTCTCCCTCCTCCTTAAGGCCAGTAACTCTTAGATTTTCCCTTTTGAGACTATTTTTTAGATCCTTTAGGCATGCTTCATTATTTTTTATTCTTTTTTAAAATTTCAGATTACATAAAGTAGAAGGGAAAAGGAGAGAGAGAGGTGGGGAGAGGGGATATGGGAGAAGGGAGGATATCCGGGGGACCTCACCTAACATGCATGATGCAATGGTACATTTCAAACCTATTAAGAAATGAGTATAATTGTGATGGATGTGTTACTTGGTTCAATGTAAACATTGCACATTGTATATCGAAGCAGAACCCTGAACCCCATAAATGTAACAATGTACAAAGTTATGATTTAATAAAAAAATAATTAATTAAAAAAATAAAAATAAATAAAATTTCAGATTAATATGAGGATACAAATGATCAGGTTACAAAGTTTGTGCTTGTTACGTTACGTAAAGTCCCCGCTGTAATTATGCCCCACACCTAGGATGTGTTCCATATACACTTACATCATGCCCATTAGGTGAGAGCATACCAACATGTCTCCCCCCTTCCTCCTGCTTTCTCCTGCTTTACCCAACAGTTTTTCTCTTGTGTGGGTTATGTATTAGTGTATCTACTGGCTTCATATTAGTATTGAATACATTGGATACTTGGAATATTCTATTTGTTTCATATTAAACTTTTTTATGAAACTGAGCTTGAAGAAAGGATTCTTAGACACAAAATTAATAAAGTAAAGAAACTTCTGGTCTAACAGATAAATAAGAGAAGCCAGAATCTGCATCTATCATCCCTAGCCTATAGTCTTTTCCTGTGTGCTGTAGCTATCACTGCCACCAATATCATTACTACCTTCTCTACAATAGTTTTCCCAAGGGCACATTATGTAGATTATCACATAAGTTGTGAGATACACAAAAATCAAGAAACATAAAATCTTTGTGAATGGAAACTAATGAAAACCTCCAAACAACACTGATAAGCTAAGTAAGTTGAAACTTACATGGGCAAATCAGAAGGGACACTGTCAACTGTGATTCTTGGGCATGAAATAATGGACCATAACACAGCCTGTCTCAAAACTTTCATAGTGACTATGTACTAGAAGGCCTCGATAATTAGGAAAATTCATACACCTTGATCAATGGGTGTATCTTTTTGTTCCTAGGTCAAAGTGAAATATAGTGATTTAATTGTTTTGTCATGAACAGAGGCACTTTCAAGCACATAAACTGCTTTTCTTTAGCATTCTGTTTAACTTCCATTTTTAATTTTCCCATATGTAATTTGTGAACTAAAAAACCTAAGCAACCCTTCATTTACTGAACAGACCTCCTTTCAGCCCCAGAGAAACCTTACAACTGAAGTCCTAGCTATGACAGGATGGGAGGTGAGATATGCATTATTTTACCTCCTCCCTTGCTAACAACCATCAGGCTTGTTCCCCCTGAGAGCCAGACCAGCATACTTTTATGAAAAAGACCACAAACTGTGAGTGGTTTTAACAGAGAGAGTTTTTCTGTCCTTTATTCACTTTTTTGACTTAGAGAGTGGTAATTTCTGAACATGGACCCCCACAAAAGGACAGAAAGCTCCATTGCACAGGCACGTTTCTATTTTCATAAATATTCATGACTCCTGCTGTAACTTGACAAATATGGCCACCCAGGATAAATTCCTGTTCCCATTGTCCTTGCCTCAAAGCACATATTCCTGGTTGGGCTCTTGGCTTTTCTGTTTGCAGGCAAAAGCCTTTATAAGAAATAAAGCTCTCAGGTGGTGCCTGTGGCCCCATATGCCAGAGGTAGTAGGGTCAAACCCAGCCCTGGCCAAAAACTGCAAAATAATAATAATAAATAAATAAATAAAAAAGAGAGAGAGAGAAAGAAAAAGAAATAAAGCTCTCTTTTCTGAATTATGAACCTCATTATTTCTTCAGTTAACACATTGAATTGGAAAAGTAGAAGAGAAGCTTTCAAATTTTAAGTATAAAACCACACCAAATCCATAAAGCACTTATAACATAAGAAGTTCCCAAGCAATATGAAAGAAACCCAAGATCTCTTTTCTCTCTGCCCAGTTATTTAAAAGATGACCAGAGAAAAATAGGTGGACTATAAAATTCCTTTTTAGCTACAAAGGTCATCTCACACTGTCAGAGCCTTGCTGGACTCTAAAGGGAAACCCAGAGAGTCTCCTAAATTCTTCTTTACTGTTTTGAGGAAGCAGGACTTCATTACTCTGCCAAAATAGTCTATTGCATGTCAACCTCTTTTGTTGTCTCTCCTTCATTCCAAGGCAAAAAAAAAAAAAAAAAGACAAAGAAAGGCCAGTCTTTCCTTCTTCCCAGACAATGCTCTTACCTTCATAGGGCTGCCCAGAAGGGACATAATCAGGCTCTTTCCCTGTGAACTCTTTCTCCCCACATGAATCCTCTCTCCATGGAACTGCCCAGGTAGGCCATAACCAGGCTCTTTCCTCATTAACCCACTCTCCCTTCATGAACCCTCTCCTCATGGGGCTGCCCAGATGGGACATAATCAGGCTTCTCCCAGTGAACTCTCTCCCACATGACTTTTTTTTTTTTTTTGAGACAGAGTCTCACTGTGTCACCCTTGGTAGAGTGCTGTGGCATCACAGCTCAAAGCAACATTAACCTCTTGGGCTTAAGTGATTCTGTTGCCTCAGCCTCCCAAGTAGCTGGGACTACAGGCACCGTGACAATGCCCAGCTATTTTTTGGTTGTAGTTGTCATTGTTGTTTGGCTGGCCTGGGGCAGGTTTGAACCTACCACCTTTGGTATATGTGGCCAGTGCCCTAGCTGCTTGAGCTACCGGCGCCAAGCCCCACATGACTATTTTCAAAGTCATTTCTTAGAGATGCCATCACCATCCTGATACACTTGATGCACTTGACCCTGTGAACCCTCTCTCTCACATGTAGCAAGCCAGGCCCAAAAACTTTTTGTATGCTGGGTTTGGGCATCTCTACTGCATTTTGCTTTTTCTACATTTTTCCTATTCCTTTTCTCTGGTATTAAATAGATCCATCCTTTTCTCTCTGTGAGATGGTGATAGCCAACACTCAATTTTGAGCTTTTCTATGAAAACAGGAATAAAAAAGCAGGACCACACATGATATGGTTTAGATGTTAAGGGTACACTGAAAATTGGAGCCAAACTCTTACCAAAAGATGAGGTTACTTTATCTTGTTTTTCTTTCTCTGTGCATCTGTTTTCTCTGAAAGCCACAGACACCTATGACCCATATTATCCTAACAAAGAATCTTAATCTGACCAGAACTTCCAGTGATTCTTACCTTATCTGCTTGCCTTCTCTCATGTCATATAAAGAAAAGAAAACATCAGTATCTTCTCCAATGGTATTATAGGTGAAACTCTTTAGGCTAAGGAAGAAGTGATGTGGCACTGGCATCCGACAGGTTTCCCCATGACGTGGTCGCATTGTATCTACCTAATAAAGAAGGCAAAAAACAGTGACTCACAATTTTAGTTATTTATTACATTTATCATTAAAGAAACGGAAACTAAATTACTAACTCTCCTCACATTGCTGAAGAGAATTATTTAAGAGAGAGACTAAAGATGTTTTCCGTGCTAATAAGAGTTACCACATTGACAGACTTAGGTTGAGGTGGGCAAGCAAGCAGCTGGGAGAAGTAAACAGTGAAGAAAACATGGAAACGGTAATTCTAACTTAGAAGTGAACTCAAAATCTCCACCAAGTCAATAACATCTAAATTTTCCAGGGAAATATTTTCAAAGTCATTTCTTAGAGATGCCATCATGACCCTGATGTACTTGATTTATCTTACACTGTTAGATGGTAATAGTTACCATTCTAAGTAACATTCTTATTTTTTCTTAGAGTGATTCATTATAGTCTTAGTCTACTTTCATTTAATTGTGCTTATACAAATTTTCACAGAGGAATGGAGACTGGCCAAATCTGGAGATCAAGTCTCCTTAGATAAAGACACCAAACAATCAAAAAGTAATTGGTATCTGTCATTTACAAGTGCATTGATATGTTGTGATCTCTTAAAAGAAAAGTTAAGGGAAAATATTGGGAGTCCTAAGTAAGCTGCTTACCTGGGATGTGCTCTGCTGTACACTCTGTCGGCTAGATAAATGCTATGAAAAGAAAGAAAGAAAAATTTACTCTTTCAAAGAAGAAACTAAATTTTATTAAGCACCTTCTATGTGCTAAGAAGTCTTGTATATCTTTTACATTTATGATTTCGTTTGATTCTGATAATCCTGTTAGACAAGTGGTATTCATAATTGAAGAAGGCAACTAAAGCTTGCAGATGTGTCCAAACTTTTTTTTCCCCTCTGCTACAGTTTGGAAGAATAAGAGTTGTCTTGGGCCAAACAATAAATACACAAACACTAACAAAGTATGATCAGTGAAAAAAGTCCATGTACACTTTTTGTGATATCAGACACTGCGGATAGGCAACAACAATATAAAAAAAAAAAGTCCACACAAAATTAACATGTGGCAATGAGCTGCAGGTTGGGCACCCCTGGTAGAGTGAGAAAGTAACTTGCTAAAGATCACACAGCAAAGTGGTAGCAAAGCCTAGATTCAAATCTGAGCCTGTCCAGCTCATAGTACCAGCTAAGTCACAGGTGAGTGCCTGCTACTGGATTTTTGCTTTGGCACTGTTCTCTCCACACACAATACCATCTTCTAAACCAATGGTTCTCAACCTTCCTAATGCCGTGACCTTTTAATACAGTTCCTCACGTTGTGGTGACCCCCCAACCATAAAATTATTTTTGTTGCCACTTTAAAACTGTAATTTTGCTACTGTTATGAATCGTAATGTAAATATTTGTTTTGCAGGATGTATTTAGGTGACCCCTATGAAAGGGTCATCCAACCCCTAAAAGGGTCATGACCCACAGGTTAAGAACCACTATTCTAATTCAGAATTAATTCTAAGCTATCTAATTCAGCTTCTTCAGGCTTTCCACATTGGATACCTTTAATTAAAATGGGATCCCTCCCAAACATCTCCCCAAGTTGCTCCTTTCCTGCTAGCTGAAGTCAGAAGAAGCGGATTCTAATACCAGCTACTTGCTGAAGGGGATTATTTAAGAGAAAGACCAAAGATGTTTTCTCTGCTCATAGGGGGTTTACTAAAAAGCTGTGCAACTTCAGAGAAATTGCTTAATCTCTCTAAGAGACATTTTCCAGAACTGTGAAATTAAGGTATATGTTTATCTTATCTTCCCCATAAAGTTATTATGAGTCTCAAATTATATAGTGGGAATAAGAGAACCAAAGTGCAGGAAGCAGAATACCAGTTCTGAATCATTAAAACAAATTATTGATATATATGTACGCAATTATGGGATATATGTAATATTTTAACACATGCATGCAAAGGGCAGGCAGAATGGGAACTAAAGACCTCATTTTTGGCAAGGAAAAACACCTTCGGAAAAAGAGAAAAACAGAGAAATGAGCTGAGCAAGGTGGAATAATGCCAAGTTAGCTAGTTTGCTTTTAAATCAGCCACTAAATTCCTTATCTGAGCAGTTCCTGCTTTTCCTACAAATCTGGCCTGTAAGGGATACAGCTTGCACACACCCCTGATGGGTCTGTGAACACTTTGAAGAAATAATGGTCACAGAGGAAGCTGCGTGGAAGGCCTGGCAAGAAACTTTAACTAGGCCATCTCCTGCCCAGTCAACAGCCAAAGCAAATACCCATTGTGGAGATTTGTATTTGGCCAGGGCAGAGATCAAAGAAACAGCTCGGGTCCTGAAATATGAGTAAGAGAGCTTATATCCCTTAAACAACCGAAGAAGACACCTCTGGGTGGAGATAAGAAGAAAATTCTTCTGTCTCATCAGTTCTTCAGAGGAGACTGCTGCTGGTGGTATTTTACTCCACAGTGAACTAGTGGGGATGAAACCCCTCCTAAGGAATCTGTGTGTGTGACCATAGTCAGGAGGCTCCCACATAAGACTCAAGGCTGCTGAGGGCAGCACCTGTGGCGCCATGAGTAGGGCGCCAGCCCCATATACCGAGGGTGGTGGGTTCTAACCCGGGCCCAGTGGAACTGCAACAAAAAAACAGCCAGGTGTTGTGGCAGGCGCCTGTAGTCCCAGCTCCTTGGGAGGCTGAGGCAGAAGAATTGCCTAAGCCCAGGAGCTGGAGGGTGCTGTGGGCTGTGATGCCACAGCACTCTACCAAGGGCAAGAAAGTGAGACTCTGTCTCTAAGAAAAGAAAAAAAAAAGACTCAAGACTGCTCAGACCCTTAAAGTTGATCATTATAGAAACAATAGAGGCTGACAAGCTTACTCAGAGAACTGCTGATGTTTTTTGTTCCCTTCCTCAGCTTACCCTCTGGGCTAATGTGGAAACAGCCTTGAATAGAAGCTGAGTAGAACAAACACTTGGGGCCATTCTCCAGAATCCCACTAATGTGTGATGGCCCCATGTTTCCCACCTTTGAAAATTCTATTCTGTGTGTCCTCTTTGTCTCTTGCTGCTTCTAATTTTATTTTTCTTTAGTCGATCACCACCAGCTCCACAGGTGTTAAAGGACCCTGCCTCTGGGGCAGGACCCTGGCAACAATGTATAATGATAAAATCAGGATATTTAAGATATTAATCACTATAAACATTTACTACATCTTTGTATTGAAAACATTTCAAATCTTCTCTCCTAGCTGTGTTGAAATGTACAATAAATTACTAACTACAGCCATCCCATTATGCTACTGAACCTGAACACTAGAACTTATTCTTTATAACTGTATATTCTTACTTGTTATCCAACTTCTCTTCATCTCCACAACTCTAAACTTCCCAGCCTCTGGTAACTATCAGTCTACTCTCTGCTTCCATGAAATCTACTTTTTTTAGCTTCTATGTAAGAGTTAGAACATGGAATGTGTGTCTTTCTGTGCCTGGCTTATTTCATTCAACATAATGACCTCCAGTACCATCCATGTTGATGCAAATGACAAGATTTTATTATTTTTATGGCTAAATAGTATTCCATTGTGTATATTTACTACATTCTTTATCTATTCCTCTGTTGGTAGGCACTGATGGTGATTCCACACCTTTGCTATTGTGATATATATCCAGTAGTGGAACTGCTGGATCATTTTGTAGTTCTATTTTTAGTTTTCTGAGAAACCTCCATAACTGTTTTCTACAAGGTCTATACTAATTTATATTCCCATCAACTGGGTATAAGAGTTCCCTTTTCTCCCCATCTTGCCAGGATTTGTTACTTTTTATCTTTATGAATAGCCATTCTAACTGGGGTGCAATGATATTTCATTGTGGTTTTAATTTGATTAGTGATCAGCGATTAGTGGTCATTTGTATATCTTCTTTTAAGAAATGTCTGTTTGGGATCTTTTTCCACCTTTTTTGTGTCCACATTTCTATGGAATTATTTCCTATTTTCCTATGGCACTGAGTTCCTTGTGTGTTGTGGATGTTAGTCCCTTATTTGATGAATAGTTTGCAAGTACTATTTCCACTCTATAGGTTATTTCTTCACTCTACTGATTTTCCTCTTTACTGTGCAGAAGATTTTTAGTTTAATATAGTCCCATTTGTTTATTTTTGCTTTTGCTACCTATGATTTTTGAGGTCTTAATCATAAAATCTTTCCCTAGGCCAGCATCTGAAGTGCTTCCCCTGTATTTTATAAGCAATTTTATAGTTTTGTGCTTCCCCTATATTTTGTAAGCAGTTTATATAATTTTGCATATTGTGAAAAACAGGGAATCTAGTTTATTCTTCTGCTTATGAATATGCAGCTTTCTCAGTACCATTAATTGAAGAGGATGTTCTTTCCCCAATGCATGTTCTTGGAGCCACAGTAAAAAATCTTATTACTGGAGGTGGAGCCAAGATGGCGGACTGCAGCCAACTTTTTACAGAAGCTCCCATCTAGAAGGAGGCTTAAAGGACAGAAGTTTAGCAAGGGAGCTGATGGCTTGGAGCAGAGCCAAGAGAGAAGACTGAAGAGTGCACTTCAACCTTCCTGAGGTGAGCTGTGACTCCAAAAATACAACCAAAATGTACAAAATCCACCACCAAGCAGATGGGAGTCCCCTCCCCCACAACAAGGGCTCGCAGTTTACTCCATGCACACAAGCGAGCAGAGTTTAAACTTTCTCCCACTCTGATGGGAGAGACCCCCTAAAAACTGGACCTCCTACCCCTACTGGCGTGCCACAGCACCCTCCTGCCAGGCATAAAACTGTAAAACTGTATAAAACTGTATATATTCCCCACCTGCAACGCTGAACTCTGAGGAGTCCCCACACACCCACTCCGAGGTCTGGAGGTTTGTTACCTACGGAGTCCAGATTCTTAGGCATCTCCTTTAAAGAAGTGGCGGGGGAAAGGGTTGGTGCTGCTCTGTGTTGACTGTGGCACAGGAGTGAGGAGAAGAAAGTTGGCTCAGAGGAAGCCAATACACCAACAGTGGCATCCTGAGCTGTGAACTGACACCATTCCAGCCCTGTCTCTCTGGGCAACCAGATGTTCCAGTCAGCAGCCACAGGCAGAGTGCTGATAAATTTTGTAATTAAAGAGCCCATTAAAGGAACCCATTAGCACCAGCCCTCAGGGTAATATAGCTGAGACAAAGGCAGTAGGCGGGCAGAGGCTGGAATTGACACCTGAGTGTAAACTACTATTTGTCTGCTGCCCAGAGCTGAATGCAGCCTCTGATTGCAGAGGAATCTAGCCGACAGAAGCCTAATTCAAACACGCAAGGCCCCCACATCAAACTCAGATTTCTGGCTGATTTTGCTAGTCGTAAACTCTGGGAGCAGTTGCCTACTGGAGTGAATAGGGTCACAGACCTGGGGGATAACAATTGACTGGGTGCAAGGTGGGGAAGGAGATATTAACCTTCCCAGACTAACCTATTTGCTGGGTGGGTCTCTTTGCTGTCACGGAGCACCAGAGCAAGTTATAACTGAGCAGCAAACAGACCCCTCTTATCTAGCTGCCGGAGACATTTGAACTCTTCCACCTAAAACTGGTCCTGACTGGGACAACTGATTTGGACCCCTAAAACCTGGCAGACCATGCAGGGACTATTCAAAGGGGCACCCTGGGTGAACAGTTGAGGGAAAG